AATCCTTTTCTTTTGCCCTATTTTTCTTCCATTACCTAATTCTTTATTCTAATTCCCTTCCTTTGCGTGCCTCCCTATAAAAAAAATCTGGAAAAAACGTGATAAATGATTATTTTTCTAATTTTCATTCCGAAGAAACTCAGACACGTGATTATCTTCATTTTTTTATTAATATTCCAATTTGTTTTTAGCTTAAAATTCAAATAATCCTTTAAATAGTTGGACAGGCTTATACAAAAACAGTACTTGAGTATTCATGCTTAATTAACAATTTCAAAGAATATATAGCTTAAAAATCTTTCAAGTAAACATTATATAGCAAATGTTTATCCATTGTAATTACAAGAATTTAGCTACAGAATATTGATTGATTATTGATTATTATTTGTATACAATATCATACACACTTTGAATTATATCACCAAGAAGTTTCAAAAAGGAGTTGAATAATTCACATTTTCAGATATACTTCTAAATAATACAAATAATGATAGCATTATTAATATTGATAATGATGATGAGACCTCTATTAAAAAAAGAGTCTCACCTATTTATCAATATTTTACATTTAATGATGAATTAAGTTGCTGGTATTGTGATTATTGCACGTAAGTATATATTTTCATGCTTTAATATTATATATTTACAATCCAAAATTAATTGTATTATTTGAATAATAGGAATACCTATAATGTAGCTGGATAATTAACAGAATTAACTAGTAAAACTTTTGCAATTAAGGGATAGTTACATACTTAAATTTATTAAATGAAAAAAGTGAAATTAGAGTCTCATCTACAATGTATGGTCAGTATGGATAATTACCAGAATTAACCAGTCAAGACTGTTATAGAACTTTGGCAAATGGATAGAAAAAGAAGAGTCAATCAAGATATGTTGATGCCGAGTGTGCTGTTCAGGTCCCTCACAAAAACATGTGTAATTCTGAAATGTATCACATACTTGTGAACTGGCTAAAATGTTCTTATGATATTGAAATCACCAGTCAATGGCATTTGGATATATATTATTTGAAATTCATATTTAATATAAATCAGTTTTACACTCATGAAAATAATCACATTACCTGTAATATAATTTGTAAGAAGAAATGATACATTATAATACAAAGTCTAAACTGAAGGAATCAAGCAGTTATAATCATTAATAGAATATAATTTTAGAAAGTTTTATTATACATAAGAAGTATAATTGTCAACAGAAAAAATAATTAGTAGTAGGAATCCCTATAAAAAATTTTTTGGAAAATTGATCAACATGTCCGAGTTTTTCTAATTATTCTTTATGAAAAATAATCCAATTTGAACCTAAAGAGTTAAAATTAGTGTGCAATGACAACCTTTATCACTCGCCAGAGGATTCAGAAACTGACCTTAAATAAATGTCATTCTTATTGAGCCAAGTGTGAATAAAGTATAATATGTTTTAACATATAGTCACATAGTCACAACTAATTGAAAATTGCAAATACAATATACACAAATAATACTTGCATTAGAAAATGTTTTTTAATATAGATTCATATGAAAAATTCTGAGTAAAAACTAGATAAGTAATGTATTTCAAATCACTTAAATTGATGTAACCAAAAAATCAAAAATTTAAAATATTATTACTCTTTTGCGGTTATAGATAAAAGAGGTTTGACTTACAGTATGTACTATGTAGTACTGTAGATTTCTGTAATGTATAATCAATCCAACTTTATCAAATGCGAGAATGTCTAGCGGGAATTGACCCAAAAACTCTATAATCGACTACCAGATGATATAGAAAAAAATATATAATAGTTTAAAAAATAATTTTATTTAAGAAAATTAAATTTTATTAAAAAATGCTTAAAAGAAGGATGAAAAAAATTTGGAAATATTTAGTTTATCAAAAATTTTAAGAACTATTTTGGCTCATGGTTAAAATTCAGTTCCTTTACTTAAATATTTTTATTTTATAGAATTGAAATAGATGTTTCATACAAGAAAGCATTTAGAATTCTCCTATTAATATTATTTATTTTCCTAAAATTTTGAATATTTATGAAATCGAAATAGAGCTTTCATACAAGGAAGCATTAGAGAAGTTTTATGGAATTGAAATAGAGTTTTCATATAAGGACTCCTTATTTTACATAAAATCAGAAAATAATATAAAATAGTATAGTAAATGTAGGAACTACCACTCAACGCCCTCAATATTCTATGATAATTTCCAGGATCAGAAACAACTACAGCAGGATTGGGTTATGGATTATAGAAGTACTTCTAAAGACATCTCTAACTTTTTCATATTTTTCCACACTATAATATAAATTATATTTTTAAAAAATTATAGAGTTAAAAAAAAAAATAAACCTTAGTTTATCATAATCTAAAAATTAAAATTATACAACCGATATTACACACCAATTCATTTAATACACAATATAATTGAGGATACAATCATAAATCATAAGAAGCTTGATGTTTTCAAGCAGGAGACGGTATCGACCAAGGTGAAACAATATCACCATTAATATGGAGAATATACTACGACCCTTTGTTAATGAGAATTAAAGAAGTTAAGGCCCTTGGCTACAATTTATCAACTAGTTGGCCGTCTAAGTACTTTGGACAGCACGATACAGATAATGTTATGCAGATGATATATAATTGATAGGGATTTATTAGTACTAGGAATATATAAGACATTAAATTTTAATAAGTAAAGCAAGACAAAATAAACCTAATTACAAATTTTTTAAAAAAGAAAATTTTACAAACTGAATTTTTTAAATAAAATTTTTTTTTAGAAAATAGAGTAACTTATATTATAACACTATCAATATCTTTAATTACAAATATACACAATATCAGAATTGATAAAAAATTCTAGATAATGGATTATCTATATCTATATAATTAAAAAAATTGTGTTTGTGTGACTAACGTTTAGATTAGCCTATATAAATAATCTTTGAATTGTCCAATGTATACTTGCCGCCCATTTAAAATCCCCTCCCATCCCCTCCCATCCCCTCCCCTCCCATCCCATATCCCATCCCATCCCCAAATACTTGTGTAACATTTCTCCCATTGGCCAATTATCACGTGACGTTACACAAACTTCCAAAAAAGGAAATTTTGCCTCCCGCAAAATTGGGTGGATTTGGTTTCACAAGTATTCCAAAAAAGGAAATTTCTATGCCGATCACATAATTCCGGCCGTAATATTTTGGTTTTCGAAGTCTAATGTTAATTCCGGTCAGAATTTATTATCCTACATACCCCAATTTTTAAGAGATTTACCGATCAGATTTTAATGAAATTTATATCATTGGATTTGTCTTGATGCAAGGAATTTAATGGCAGTGAAATTATATTCCCAACATTAATATCGACTAAGTTATTATAAAAAATGTATTTTATAATATATTTTATTAAATAACATGTATAAAGCAAGCAATATATAATTGGTTACTTTTAATATAAAAAGTTTTTAAAATATATTTATTCAATTTATTATTTTATATTTTTTATTACAATTTAACTTTGAAGTTTGAATTAACTTAAACCTATCTATTAATTCATCAAAAAAAGGTTGATTATTTATTTCTAATATATAATTTGATAGTTATTATTATTGCATAAATATTTAATAAAATAATATTTACAAACCAGGAATTAATTAACTGTTAATCTAAAAAAACAATATCAGATATCATCAAAATTATTAATTCAAATAAAATAATCAGTATATTACTGAATACTAACTGCTAACATGTTACTTTTAAATAATATATAGTATAAAAAATACATTTTTTATAATAAATCAGTCAATATTAATTTTAGAAATATGATTTCACTGCCATTTAATTCCTTGCATCAAGACGAATCCAAAGATATAAATTTCATTAAAATCTGATCGGTAAATCTCTTAAAAATTGTGGTTTGTAGGATAAGGATTTAAACCTTTATAATTTGTAATTCCGGCCGGAGTTAAAATATAAACTTCGTAAATCTGTTCGGGATCTTAATTTTGCTCATATTCTGGTAATGGATGCAATGCTGGCCAGAATTATATGATCGGCGTAAAAATTTCCTTTTTCGGAATACTTGTGAAACCAAAATCTCTAATTTTTGCGGGAAGCAAAATTTCCTTTTTTGGAAATTTGTGTAACGTCACGTGATAAGTGACCAATGAGATTATTTGGGATATGGGATGGGATTTGGGATTTGGGATATGGGTGGGATTGGGATTTGGGATTGGGATGGGATTTTGGCAAATGGGAGGGGATTTTGGCAAATGGGATGGGATATGGGATGGGATGGGATAGGGGATTCTCCCATCCCATTTAATATGGGCGGCAAGTATAGTCCAATGTGTTATTCATCTGCGCCTCTACACCTGATTTATTACGTTTTCTTATAGACATACAATATTAATTACTAATATTGTGTAACATTTAATATGATCTATTATGCTTAATAGTTAAGACCACTTGATCGGCAAATTCATTCTAATCTAATGTGCAGGAAAAGGAAATTTGTATAATTCTGGCCGGAATTATAATTTTGCAATTTTCTCCCAAAATTAAAATGACCCCCACGTTATAAATTAAAAATTTTAACTGCGTCAAATTATATACTGTATTGATTGCCAAGACTTCCAGAAATTATTTAAATTTTGCATTTTACATTCAGTTTAAAGTTATAACTGATATATCACATACTGTAACCCTTTTTTCCATCAAAATTAATTTTGTCACTTTCTTTAGCAAAGATCTAAATTTGATAAACGTGTGATCAAAAATGATGATCGATCAATTTATACAACCCGATGCGAAGCAGCGGGCTACTGCTAGTTTTAATTAAAAGAATGATTACAAAAATTAGATTTAGCATTTCAAAGTTTAAAATAATATTAATTTTGGAAATACTTTAAAAAAACTTTATATAAAAACAGGTGAAAATATTTAATCTTGAAAATAATGCAAAGACAATTGGATGACTGTTAAAGAAACTGTTGCAAGGTTATACTTTTCTAATGGTACTATACTCTATATTCGTGTCTTAATTAATCATATTGTGAGATATAGTAATAAAACATTATGTAAATTGAACTTTTTTTATGCTAGAATAGAAAAAAGAATTATCATCAATGTCTTACTCTATTGTAAAATATTAAAGATGGAAGCAAAAGTATAAATAGAAATTCATATGACTACAAATAAAGCGTCATACTGGCGAGAATCGAAAGATATCTAACGATAATGAAAGAATTTCTAACAAACGTATTGCTAAGGAGAAGAATAGTGAAGAGAGGCCTGGCAAGAAACGGATGAGGATATCTGATGATAGCGTTGTAATTTAAAGAACGACTTTTACTGCAAACAGAATTCTTTACTTCAAATATAATAATGATAGGTTATTACATTCTTTCTCAAACTCCAAAAATTAATGTTTAATGATATTTTTTATCAAAATAATTATTATAACTAAATAATTTAAAGTAAACATCATTTTTTATATATTACTTTTTTAAAAAACGTAGTAATTCATTTCAACAACAAAATTGTATGCAAATTCAACATTACACAATTAAGTTCAATTAATACCATAATCTATTCAAATTTTCCATTTTCCCCGAATAAAAATTAATTTCAGAATTATTAGTTTTACTAATTTGTTATCGTAAATTTTTTAGTTTATTTAATAAAAAAATCCATGATAAAACTTACCAAAACTGAAAAAATTTCATTTTAAAACTACTTAGATTAATAAACTTCCCCTTCTTTGTTTCTTCATTACTTCCTTCCTCCTTCTCTCAAATATTATAAAATTATTAACATTGGGCGAATTATTGAAGACTAAATATTGCATTGCAAACTTATCAAAGGTGATCAAGTAAGCACCTAACCATATATTGCTACATATTTTATATACTGTTGTCACGGAATTTTTTGGTAGTTTGCTGCTTGGGGTGAGTAGTTGTAAAAATTCAACAATTATTTAGTCCCATAATAAAATCAAAAAAATAATTAAATCAAAATGAATTATATTAACAATATTAGGAATAAAAATTAAAAATTCATGATAATGACTATAATTTATTCATTGTTTCCTTATTTTTATAGATTATTTTAGGTAGTAAATTGAATTCTCTTTTAGGAATCATTAAAAAATAATAATGGAAATATTTTAATAAATTTAAAGCATTTACACGTAAAAAAAGCTTTAAAAAAGACAATATTTTCACATCTTGTAATTATTTTCCCAATGAGAAAAATGGCACTTAAAAGAATTAATAGAATATTTTAATTTTATACAATGTGATTTTCCAACTGTAGGTTTTATACTGGTTTACTTATAAAATTTTCCTATTTGTTAGGAATTGAAATATTTTGAAGATGATCAACCGTCAATGAGTACTGCTGGTCCTATCGATGATAATCCTTTCTATTGAAAAGCGACAATTATGGGACCCATAAGTAATATTCTATCTTATTGCTTCTAAGTTTTCACAAATTGAAATTAACTTGAATATTATGGCACAATTTTGATTAGAATGATTCTTCATACGCTGGAGGTATATTTGACCTTGAAGTTCATTTCCCTGGAGATTATCCGTTCAGACCACTAAAGGTATTCCTTTGTTTGCATGTACTATGATTTAAATATATAACTTACATATTAATTGTCATGCCATTTATATAGGTGGTGTTTAAAACACGAGTTTACCATCCGAATATCGACATTAAAGGAAATGTAGGCCTGGATATTCTAAGAGAACAATGGTCATCAGCGCTTAATATTACAGCAGGTAAACCGCCACAAGACTTGCAATTTTTTTTTTTTTATAAAAGAATTTAATCAGCCATTTGTTGTTCAGTATTATTATCAATTAGTTCATTGTTGACTGATCCAAATCCAGGTATATTATTACATAATTCATAATTATCTTCTGCCTGTTATCTAATTATTAATTTTTTTTTTTCCTAATTACAGAGGTTCCGCTTTGTTCCTGAAATTGCTTATATATACAAGACTCGTCCCCGCTATGAAGCTACTGTTAGGGAATGGATTCGCAAATATGCAGTATTGTCAATCATATGACCTTTTATTAAAAGTTTGAAAGTTATAATGATTATTATTCAAAATCTAATTATTTTGTTTAATTTATAATGGCTTTTTAAAATAAAGTGATGATGATTATTCAGGCTGTACTGAAAAAAAACGTGAGTATATAGTATATAAAAAGTGAGTAACGTAGATTGGCTAAGTAAGTCACATGTTTAGCTACGTACTCATTATAATGATATAATGAATATAAGGCACCTAACGACCTAACGTCCTATACAATTTACGTGACTTATACAAAATCTTTCGTGGCACGATTGTTTTATTTACCGCCACAATAAATTTATTTCTCTATTTTTTAAAAATCTATTAAATTAAATAACTTAAGTGTAGAGCATACTGTAAACTATTTTTTTTTTAATAAACGCGTTTAACTTTTATTACGCTAGTTTGAGTATTTATGAATTAATTAATATTTCTTAACGTGTATTTGAACTATTTCATTAAAAATAATATTTGCTTATTCTATGAACGATAATATAATCATTTCAAAAGCTATTTAAAATATTTCTGCCATATTCTTTATTTTCAATGTTTAACTTTGTAAGTATATCTTTCGTGTAATATTTATAAGTAAAATTAAATACGGTCGTAAAATTAATGTGATTCTACGAATATATTATACGTTAATGTCTACTGTAAAGAAATGTTCTAGCGAGTTTATATTTATTTTAATAATTATGGCTTAGCGAATAAATTTTTCATGTTCCTTATATTTATTAATAACTGAAATTTTACAATTACCCAAAAAATGTATAGAATATAAGAAATGTTGGTACACATTCACATCATAATAGTTTTCTTGTTCTTAAGCATTGACTTGCATTACCCTAAGCAAAAGTTTATCATTTATTCATCAAGTATGGATTCATTTTCATTTTTTGATAGTTTCAAGCTAATTCATACATTTTGACTAGTATTATTTTCACATATTTCATGTTTACATTAACATATCCCACTAATATTTTATTAATTATTCGTTTTTTTAAGATTTTTTATGCATAAACCAATACATCTGAGAAAGTAGATTATTTTTGGCGAAAAAGATTAAACATTTGAAAAACATGAATGATGATTATGTAATAAATTCCTTCATAATATTTTTCTAAGACGCAACGTTGAATTAAAATGTGTGGCGTAGTACCAGACAATCGGATAAAATTTTCATAAAGCGATAATTACTATAAAAGGCTAAATTAAAATTCATAATATAATAATGACACTTACTATAAAAGGTTAAAATTAAATTCATGTAACAATGATTAGAATTTATTCATTGTTTCCGACTCGTGTAGTACATAAATGAAATTCATTTTAGGATTCATTAAAAAAAAAGCATTTACGTGCTGAAAAAAGCTTTAAAAAGACAATTTTCTCACATCCTATCGCTTATTCTAATAACAAAATGGCTCTTAAAAGAATTAATAAAGTATGTCATAATTCATCTTTCGTAGATGAGCTTTTTTTCAATTGTAACTAATTAATTTATTCCTTTTTTTTCCTTTACATATATATTATTAGGAATTGTATGATTTAGGTATTGACCCACCGTCAACTTTTAGTGCTGGTCCTATCGATGATGATCTTTTCCATTGGCAAGCGTCAATTATAGGTCCTGTAAGTAATATTTTACCACTTTTAAACTACATGTGTAAAGATTATAATAACTTTTACTTGAATGTTACGGTATAATTTTGATTAGAGTTATACTTCATATTCCGGAGGTATATTTCATCTTGATATTCGTTTTCCTAGTGATTATCCATTCAGACCACCAACGGTATACTTTTGCTTGTATATTTGTTTAATAGCATGATTCACGCACTAAATTTTTTATATATACAGGTGAAGTTTACAACAAGAATCTATCATCCGAATATTACTGATAATGGAAGTATAGACGTGGATTTCTTAAGGGACCTATGGTCACCAGCAATTACCATCACTAAGGGTAATAATAATTTATTATGAGTATATGTGGAATTTTTTATTATAAAAAAAAATACTAATCAAATCTTTTATTCTATCAAGTACTCTCGGGAATTTGTTCATTGTTGAGTGATCCAAACCCAGGTATTATAATTCACTTTTTCATATTCTTTATTTATTGAATGATCTGATTAATTTCAACTAAAAATAATTTATCAATAAATTAGAATGTGATATAATGCCCGAAATATCTCAATTGTACAAGACTGATCGTAATCGTTATGAAGCCACTGTTAGGGAATGGACTCGTAAATATGCTAGTGAGACATTATAAGATTTTTCTTTATTAACATTTTTATTATTTAAATTTTATTATCTAAACCCGTACATGTCCATTTAATGTCTTATTTTTAATATACTTTTCTTAAATTTAAATGTAATTATTGTTCAAATGAATCTAAAATATCTTGGTATAAAAAGAAAAGTTATTGAATATTTAAACGAGTGGAAAATAAATTAAATTCCATATGAAATGTGAAATTTATATATTACTAGATAGTTATGTTATTTAAAGGTAGATTGAAAATGAGGCGCAGCCTAAAAAACTATCAGCCCAACCAAAACGTTTATTATGCACAATAATTAATAAATACATTGAGTGGAATATTGGCAGTAGCAAATATATCACAGTTTTACATTTAAACGACCAAATAATAATCATCAAATAAGAATAAAAAAAAATTTAAAATCTTTATTTATATAGAATATTCATAAACATAAAATCCAATAAATCTACTGTATATATACTATAATATACTATGTAAACAAAAAACTAAAGACAATAATTTATAAAGCATAATGAAAGAAAAATAAAAATAAATCTAATTTCAACAGACAAACTAGTAATTCAAACTATTGGATTCTGACTTTCACATAAAAGAGAACTTCATTCAATATTATGTTCACTATCTTGACAAATTTCATTTAGTTCTATAAAAAATACATATACTGTAAATTAGAAAGGAAATATTAGTAAAATTACAAATAAATAATAACTTACCCAATTCACTTAATTGAACATCTAAGCATTCTGAAACTGTATATTATGTATTTAAATGTTAACAAATGTAAATAAAATAATTACAATAATGATAATTAAGAGAATACTTACTTGGATTTGCTGACGTTGATTGAACAGTATAATTATTATCTGTTTAAAAATATGACATAAATAATGTAAAATGGATTATATGATAAAACAAAATTAAATTTAATTACCCGAACTGAAATGACAAGATGATAAATCTGAAGAATTTACTGGTTTTGGAAGATTTTTAAAATTTAAAAGTCTACTAATATAAAATGCTTGTGGGTGTGTTTGAAAGCTTTTGGATTTATCTTCATTTGATCTGTTTTTGAAATTTCTTTTCTAATTTTATCACATTCTTTTATTTGAAAATATATTTCACTATTTTGACTATTGTCACCATCTTTATTATCTTCGCTATTTTTACTATATTCACTAATTTCATCATTCCATTCATTTAGTGTTTGATACAACTCTTTAGTGGTTGGTCCATTTTTTATTTCAGCATTCCAACATTTTACTATCAAATCTGCAAGTAACTTTGGTACACCTTCAGAAATTGTTGGTCTAAGTCCTTTACATATTTTAATAGCTAAAAATTCATCATGAGGAATATCATTAAAAGGAATTTCTTCAGAAAGAAATTCATTCATTACTATTCCAAATGAGTAAATATCTGCTGCTTTTGTATATTGGTATCCACGTAAAACTTCTGGTGCCATATATATATGGTAATACTCCATAAATTCCTTCTTCTTTAGCTGATTGCTTTATATTTGCTGGTTGACACATACCTAAATCACTTATAAATGGATAATAATCATTAAATAATATATTACCCGAATAAAAATATTTGTGAACTTTTTCAACATTATGAATATCCAAAAGTCCTCTTGCAATTTGTTGTAATTTATCAATTTTTGATTTATAATTGATATAATTTTTAGATCTATTTAAATAATTTCTCAAATTTCCAATTTCACAATAATATAAAACCATCATATACTCTTTATTATTTAGATCTTGAGTAATTCCATAACATTGAACAATATCATTAATATAAATCTGAAGATGAGATTTAATCTAATTATCATCAAAAAGGAAAAATTTTATTAATAACTGAAATAAATGAAAATAACAACAATCCTTATATATAAGACAAAGTTTAAATTACCTCATTTAAAAAATCTGAACATATATCAGAAGAATTATACGAACTTTTTAATGCATATTTCTTATAAATAAATCTATACCACTTTTGATTTTCAATATCCCAATATTTAATATGTCCTTCAGGCCATTCTGCTGAATAAATCTTACCATAACCACCTTCTGCAATATAAGTGACATTTTGAAATTTTTCAAAAGGTATCCATTCAAGACATGTTTTATAATGTATAGCATTAAGTTGTGATTGTTGTATAAATTCATCAATATGTTTATTTCCACTAGTCCAATTTTTAAAGTTATTCTTAAATCTTTTAGCATTACAAGATTGACACCATTTTTCTCCTGTACCAGGTTCATTACATTCTCCACATATTCCATATGCTTGTCTTCTTTTTTCTAAATCTTCTATATAAACTATACTTTCATCTACATTTTCTGATTCAATAGTTGAACCAATAGTAGAAATTGTAACATGATACTTTTTAATATACAAATAATTATTAATGTTTTTAACTACAAAAATCCAATAGTAATTATTAAAAATGTTAAATTGCTATTACCTGATATTTATTATCAACATTCTTCCATAAAATTTTTGGTTTTTCATCCATATTAATTAATTTGAGTTTTGAATTATAATTTTAATTTTAGTTATATAAATAAATTTCAGAATTATTAAAAAAGCAAAAGAAAAAATTATATTACACACATTTGTACTACCATTTGTATTACTATTTGTAAAACTATTTTATACAAACATTACTATTTTTGTGGTTTTGTGACAAAGAAAATTCGCAAGCAGCTGCTGATCATCATAAAAGAAAAAAAAGAAATCTAACCCAAAATGGTTAAAATGATGGTTAGTTGGACAATTGAACCATAACACAATCACTCATAAACACAATGTATTGGACATAATACATATTGTAGTATATTTAACAATATTTGTAATGTATAAGAACAAAAACTATTGAGTTAATAATTATAATATTGTCAACTATTATAGCGAAAGTAAGTAAAATATAGTACCTTAATAGTTTATTATAATAAATAATAATATAAATTAAGGGACAAATCGCCACTCAACCGGAGAATTTTAATAATGCCGATTTAAGCAAATTATCGCTAAAAATGGCTAATACTCCTTTTTTACCGGATTGTCATATCATCATGTGATATGATACACAAATTTTAAAGACGGTAATTTATAGTGACAATCCTAGCTAAGCCACTTGCAAAGTTTGAAATCGCTAGAGTTTCGCGTCTTTGACTTTTCTATGTAGGAACGCAAGATTCTGACGGTAAATTTCCTATTAACCCAAATATTGGATGAAAAATTTTTGAACATTTTTCACTGTAACTAAGCTATATTTGGTTTTTTATTTAGTTTTTAAATCTTTATTTAGCTTTATTTGAATCTTTTTAATATTCACATTCTTTGTTANGTTTCTACTAAAACTACACAGGTATACCTATAGTGCAAGTTTATGAAATTTTTTTTTTTGGACATGAAAGTTATTGTATACTGTTTTTTTTCACTTATTGGAAAAAAATTTATAGTAAAGAACAAGAAATTCCAAAAAATTTTTTTTTATTAATTACAAAGCCCTTAAAATTAATTATAGAATGTCGATCATTTTCTCCTGTTGAATGATGATCTGTCTCTTAAGTTTTTTTTAATTTTTGCCATGAAGAAATAAATACATACAAATAGTTTTACGATCGAAGTATAATTATCAACACAAAAAATTTTTTCTAGTTAATAGCAAAAATTTCCAGGTTTAATTATAAAACTTACTTATATTTGTTCTACACAGTGAAATTCGATAAACCGGATCTGTCGGTTCCACTAAAAATATCCGGTTTATCGGGATATCCGGTTTAGCGAAAAAATTTCGATATATTGAAAATCTATTATACAGAATTTTTAAAAAATTTTCATGCTAATAAAATTAATATACACTATAATTAAATTTTTCATCTTAGTTTTAAGTCATAGAGGTCATGAAAATGAATATAAAATATTTTAATTAAATATATAAGTAATACAAAAACTTCAGCCGGAATTAGGATTTTTATAATTCCGGCCAAATTTAAGATTTACCGCATCACGTATCTTAAATTTTATTGGTTAATGATCACGTGATCCAGTTTATCGAATCATTTTTTACTATAGCTGGTTAGAAAATTGATCCGTAATAGCGAATATCGAGCTTTTACTAGTAAACTCCGGTATATCGAACCTATTTTAATATACGTGATTTGGTTCCAGCAAAAAAGTCCGGTTTAGGCCCAAATCCGGTTTATCAAAGATCCGGTTTATCGAATTTCACTGTGTATATATTTTTCATTCTAGGATAACGTAAATTTTATAACTATTCATAATTACGAAAATAATCTGTCATGTTCATTGATCAGGCGCAGGTATGTTACAGTTTCATGTTACACAAATCAAAATATTTAAATAACTTTTCTAAACATCCGCAGCCCGATCTTAATCTTCAACCTGGCTTAAACCTAAAGAAATGAAAGAACATAAACAATGTCTTTTTTTAAATTGTACTTAGTAAAAGAGTTCTTTTCTTTTTCTTTAAATGTTTTTTTTAAATGAAAGTTAAAAATTTTAATTGTTTTAATTTTCAAAATAGCCATAAAATTATTAATTTTGATTTCATATGTACTGTATCTCTTATATATGATAGCTATTTTATGCAAGATAAAATATAAAAAAAAATTTAAATCAATTGGGCTGGATAATTTAATGGCTATACAATAATACGAATTACCTATAAAATTATTCGATGATCAGAAATGATTTAACAAACAAAAACGTAAATTTTTTAAAAAAACCTGTTATTTTTAAAATTAAATCATATTAAAATTTATAGTTTATTTTATTATTAATTGTTAATGGAAACTAGTATAGACCCAAGAATTTATTTCATCAAAATTAAAAAAAAGACTGTAATTTATATATTTATTTAGTTTATTTGTTTAAACAATACAAATAAAATTAACTATAGGGACGAAGTCCTATACGGTAGCAAAATTCAAAGTTTTTCCACCATTGCAAAACACTCATTTTATCAACATATAAATCAACCTTACTATCATCAGCAGGAAGTATAATTATTAATTACCACCGCTAAAATTGTTACTAGTTCCAACTCAAACATGTTAAATAAATTTAAAGCAAATATAGAAAATTCGTTTAACATATTTGTTCTTCACAATTGCTTACCGCTCCCCCTAGTGTTTTTAGTTTTTACCTAATTAATTTACTAATTATCATATCTCAACCGTCAAATATCTAATTAGTAGGTCGGCTCAGATCAGGTATCCAAATAATCCGATCCAACCTGAACTAAAAATTTGGGCCAAGTCATAATAGGTTTTTAACCTACCTTTGGGTTTGGTAACTTTATAATAAGATTAACATAATATAAAATATAATGTAATTTTTACTTTGTTACATTTTTATAACAAACTACATACAATTCATTATATTTATTTTTCATATAATTTTATAAATACTTTATTTAATCATAAAAAATATATTCCAATAAAATATACTGTAGTAATGGTAAAGAAAATAAACAGTACTAATTCCTTTCTTTAATTCAGTTACTTTTATCTACAAGTGAAAAATAAATTATTAAAACGTACGAAATTAAAAAGGGAAATCGGGTAATATTATTAAAAAAATAAATCATGTAAAAAGTTAATGTATATAAGTACCTAGGTCTAGTTTAGTAAAATCTATTGTTTCTATTGATTCTATAATATAAAAAAAAATAACTATATACATCAATAAAATTTTTAAAGAATGCTTTTGTAAAGTTGAATTAGGAAATTAATTACCTGGATATTCTCCAAATGAATCATCATCATCCTTGTTATCAATAGCATTTTTTGGTTCTGGAAGATTTTTAAAATTTAAAAGTCTACTCGTGTAAACTGCTTGAGAATTTGTAGTATATGAAAAAGTAGGTCCATTATATAATAATGAAGAGGAAGTTAACTTCTCATTAATTTTATCTACTTCTTCAATTTGCCTTTTGATTTCATTTTCATTATTATCATATGCTGATTCATAATGTAACTTGTCAAATAAATTTTGTAATTCATTTGCTTTAGGTCGTTTTAAAGGATCAGCATCCCAACATTGTTTAATTATGTTTAGAATTAATTGAGGAATTTTATAATTTGATTTTGGCCTAAGTCCTTGACAGATGCTAATAGTTAAGAATTTATCATGAGCAATATCATAATAAGGAGGAAGCCCTGTACAGACTTCATATGCAATAATTCCAAATCCATATATATCACTTTCTTGAGTATATTCTTTTCCTCTTAAAACTTCTGGTGCTACATAAGGTAATACCCCATATAGTTCTTTACATTCATTTTGGGATGGTTTTACATTTACTGGTCGACATAATCCCAAATCAGTAATCACAGTAATTGTATCTTCTTTTAATATATTGCCACAATGAAAATCACGATGAATTAACCCATTTTCGTGAATATATTCGATGTTACGTGTAATATTTTTTAAAATATCCAACTTATTCTCCCATTTTGATGAATTAAAATTATTATTTAAATATTGTCTTAAACTACCATTTCTTACATAGTTCATTACTATCATAAAATTTTTAGATTCCGGATCTTTAGTAATGCCAAAACAGTGTGTTACGCTACCAGTTGGAACCATATTATGGGTTTCAATCTAAAAAAAAAAAGAATTCATAGTAATAACAATTAATAGATAGTTTACCATTTATGATAGGACGATATATTGAAATTACTATATATAAATAAGTAACTTACTTCTCTTAAAAAATCGGATGCAATATCTTGAGAATTATGTAAACATTTTAAAACAACTGGAAACTTCTCATATTTCCTATACCAAATTTTCATTCTTTTCCACTTATTATTCTCATAATCCCAACTTTCTATAAATCCATCTTTCCAAATTGCTTTATAAATAGTTCCGAATCCTCCCATTGCCAAGTATTCAACATTTTCAAATCTATCATATTCAATCCATTCTAAAACGTATAGACGATGACTAGCTTTAAGCTGTATTTTTTGAATAAACTTGTCAACTTCATAATTTCCACTAGTCCAATTTTTAAAATTTTGTTGAAATTTACATTGACACCAACTATCAGAAGCTCTAGGTTGCTTACATTCTTTGCATAAACCATTTATTATATAACGTTCTTTCAATTCTTCATTCAATATTAACTTATTAATTAACAAACTTTGTTCTTCAGTTAGGTTATTATGGACAAAATCTTTTATTTGCTCAAATACATCATCATTGAGCATAAATTCTTCCATATTGGATTAATAAATTTTTATATCTAAAACGGAGTAAAATAATAATTATTTATTATTATTTTTTTTTTTTAAAAAAAAATGCGGCCTTTTTAAAACGTATTACAGTTGCACAGCTGCGATTGACAAAATCATTTTAATTTAGGCAAAATCAATAAATCGTTCAAGAAGTCCAGCTGATGATCACAGAAATCACTACTGATTAGGCCATTCCAAATTAATTTTTAGTTTAACGTCCTCCCTCTATACACATATGCTCACATATGTTTAAAGCACCCCCTCTCTTTTCTGAAATTGGGTGTACCGAATATTTTCGATTTTACCGAAAACTTCCGAAAATTTTAATATGTTTAATATCATGTTTGTTTATATTATTACCTTCCCCCCCTCAAATTTTTCAGCCAGAAAGAACGTTAAACTAATTATTAGTTTGGAATGGCCTAATTAGAATCAATCATGTCAAAATTGTTTAGGTTGAAAAATTTAAAAAATTGTAGTCCAATTAGTTTTTAAAAGTTACTATAAATCTGTACAAAAAAATTATAAAAGAAGTATTATTATGTGAGGAAAATTCATATTAACGAATGAATTCAGTTATGATATAATCATCATTAAAGTAAGTTAAGATAATAAAAATTTTCAACTGCTTGTAAAATAAAAATAAATTAATGTTATGACAAAACAATGAATTAAAATTTCAATCTATTATAACATCATTTTTCCTAATAACCCTAATAACATGAATTATTATAAAAACAAATTGATATTTAATGACATAAATATTTTCTCAAAATTCAAAATTATAAAAATTTAATAATATCAAGTTAGTTACGCTCAAAGATACTGTAAATAATTGACTGCGTTATTACCTATGGAAAATATTAAACTACAAGAATTATTTTTTTATTGCCGATCATGGCACGTGAAGTCGTGAACTTTATATGACAAGGAGCTTATTGAATAGTAAAATTTTTTTTTTTTTTAAATAGTAACGCATTTTATTAATTATTTGAATTTGATACAAATTAGAGCTTTCCGAAAAAATTTTTCGTAAAACCCTATAACTAATATCGATCAAAAATTCTATTACTAAAATTATATAAAGCTAAACCTAATCTAATTGAATTGTAAAATAAATATCTATATATATTAACTGTTAATATGATAAAATAATTTGTAGATCAGTAGATCAGTAACATTTAGATTACCCGTATAAATGAAACGTGTATTATGCCTGCGCCTGATTTGTCCCGTGATTGTATAATTAAAAGTTTGATTGGCAGATTACTAATGTTTACTGTTACTTGGGCCATTCCCAAATTAATTTTTATTTTTGAATGATTTAAAATAATTTAAACACATATGTTCACATATGTTTAAAGCACCCCTTCTCTTTTCTGAAATTGGGTGTACCGAATATTTCCGGTTTTACCAAAAACTTCCGAAAATTTTAATATGCTCAAATTTTTCAACAAGAAAGATTATCTTTATTTGGTTAGATTAAAAGCCACGGCTAAATTTTTTTTAAATGCATTTTTTTTCTTATACGGCTAATTTTTTTATTGCAGGACATAATACAACTGCGGCTGATCTTACATTTTAAAAGTTAGAAAATTTGATCAGTATGATGAGCTCACTCACATTTGATTACTAATATTTATTGTTTTATCTCTTAGATTGAATTGATTGCGGGTTTTATTAATATTCTTTAACACATGATTGTTTTATTTTAGTATTATTAGCTATTGATCGCCCTAATAAAATTTTTGTGGTATCTGCATTTCGCATTAGTAATTTAGTTAATAAATTTTTTAATAATAATTTTTTTTACAATAGATCGGATTTGATAAAAAAAAATATTTTTTTTTTTTGCAATAATATAATAAAAAATTCGTTCACTGCATGGCAAATAAAATATAAGTGTGTTTATTATCACTCTCATCCCCGACGCAACGCGACGAGTTACGTCTAGTTTATTAATAAAAAAATTGCTATTATATAAAAAATTCTTTTAAATTTTCATAAGCTAGTTAGTTTAGAGTCGCTATCCCACGATTTTTGCAAAGAAAAAAAAGCTATAGTATATGGAATATGGATAGGGTGGGTCGTCAACTCGTCGTGCTAAGTATCGAACGTACAGTACTGAACAAAAGATTCATATTTTGGAATTAAATTATTAAATTTACCGTTATATATTTATAATTTTGAGTATAACACAAAATTCATTTTGTTAATAATTTTTATACTTCCAGAATAAATTATGTACATATAAATAAGCAGAGAAAAATAGTGACTATGCGTTAAAAAACTTTTTTATTTTACAATTAAAAATATTGGTTTATATAATAAAAATGATAAAAATAATTCCATTTTGTACTTTAATACTTTATCCATGAGTATTCCACATCGGACTTATTTATGGTTTTAAAAACTTGTATAATCTCTGCCGCAGAACGATCATGTAATAATGTGATCATATGTTTCACGGATTTAATTTTTTATATTTTGCAAAAAAAAAAAATATTACATTTTTTTAAATCACTTTTCTGGAAAAAAGTAATATAAATTATGATTAATTCATAAGAAATTGATAATAAAATAATGAATATAAATATACTGTATAATTTTGGCGTTAAGTGGAATGTCTTAATATTATTTAAATCATGAGTTGATTATATAATCGCATAATATTAATACAAAAAAACATTTGGCTCGACATCAGGATCCATATAAGAATCCAATAAATTTTTATAAAGCTGATGGTTCAAAAATTTTATTGTGTAGACTCACTTCGTGCAAAAATTCTTTAGATGATAAACTAAAAAATCTAATTAAAGGTATACAATTTTGTAAATTATTTCCCATCATTTTAAAGATTTCATCTATCCAAGTATCAGGATCTGAAATTAAAGTTTGATTTTGTACAAGTCCCCATTTTAACACATGTTCCCATACTTTAATTTCTTTCATTTGCAAACATCCCTTTTAATAAGCGAAATTAATGATTTTTCAGATAACGATGTAAATAAGTGATTTAAATATTTTGTCGGGTGATTTAAATATAAAATCTGTACAAAATTGTTGAAAACTTGTTCGATGTATAAGTTCAAAACGTTGTTCCATTCACCCAGTTTTGTTTTCAATTAAATACTTTTGTAAAATAATCAACTAATTCATCAAGTAGAAGTTCATCAGCAGCAATCAAAACTTTAAAAATATCTAAAGTATCTTGTCCATTTAACGAAAAAATGCCACCATAAAGATATCTATATATATTAAGATTTATATAAAGTATTAAAATTTGATATTTTAAATTAATTATGACATGTATTACTTTACCTCAAAATAATTTGAAAGGTTTCCGGAGAAATATTTAATAATTTAATATGAGCTAAGTCATTATTATTCTTTTTGTTTGAAATGAAGAACGGTGACATAGGATAATCATATTGTGCAAGAAATATTTTTACGTTAGGATCCTTACCAACTTCAATAGTAATGTCATAATATTCATTTTATCCTCTAAAATTTCAATGTAGTTTTGATTTAATTTTGAATAGACATTTTTTTTTTTAAGTATAATTAACGTTAAAAAGAAAAATATATTTTTTTTAACCGCATGATCGACTTTTAAATTTGCAAATATGTCACAAATAGTACCTGCCTATCATGGATTTACGGCATGATCTGATTTTGCAGATTAATTCATTTTAGTTTGATACGCGATGTACTAATAGTTTTTAGGGGTCTGTCATTTCACCGGCAATTATCTCGCCGACAGATGTTTCACCGACAGAATCATTTCACCGACAGTTATTTCACCGACAGTCTTGAAATTCTAATCCACTTACCCTAACTTAATATAACCTAGTCCTAACCCTAATTTCTTACCTAACCATAACTTTAATCGTAAATTTCTTTGTCGGTGAGATGATTGTCGGCGAAACATTTGTCTGCGAAATGACCCTGTCGGTGAAACGTCTGTCGGTGAGATAATTATCGGTGAAATGAATGCAACCCAAATTCACTGTGTACATGGCTTACCTGCATTATCAAATTTTATCGGGTAAACGCGAGACTTTATTAAAAACTTATATTGCAACAATATATTTTTAAGTAATACCACATAGACCAGTGAATATATGGCGAATAAACAATTTTCTGAGATATCGACGAAGCTTTTCAGTAATAAAATGATCCAAAAAACATATCTCAATGTTTCATAATGTTTGAACTTGTTAAATAATAATAAAAATATGTCACAATTATTTTTTGCCAGCACTGTAAATATCTTGACATATACAAAAAAGTTTTCAATAAATTAGAATTGAAAAATATTTCATATATTATAACAATTACAGTAAATATTACATTTAAATAAAAAATACAATAAAAATACGACTATAAAAATATGTTCAAATCAAACATTGAATATTTCAAAATACTTAACACCTGTCTCTTATACACATCTAGATGTGTATAAGAGACAGTACAATAAAAATACGACTATAAAAATATGTTCAAATCAAACATTGAATATTTCAAAATACTTAACACTACTGATACGTGTTGCAAGCCATGATTAAATTCAAAATAAATTAACTCTTTAATTTGATTTAATTTGATTCCGTGCGTAAAAAAAAATTATAAATAGTTCAAATAAATTATCATTATTAATATGAATTCTTTTAATTATCCAAGCAATTTCAATTGAATACATATAACTGATATATAAGAATTTATAAAACATTATTCATAAAGAGAAAGTAAGGTTTAATCACTTACGAGTTATGTTAATAACTTTAATGTGGGACTACTGCGCCATGATGACATTTTAAGTCGATCATGCAACGATATTATAACGTTGAACAACGTTGAACAAAATTTTTAGCCATTTTTTTTTTATTTATTTTTCTTTTTCATTGATTACAAAAAAATGTCTATGCAATTTTTTCCGAAATTAAGTCAAAATTTTATTGAATTATTGGATGATGATGAATATTATGATATTACAATTGAAGTTGGTGAAGACCCTAACGTAAAAATATTTCGTGCACATACTGGTATTTTATGCTACCGTTCCCCATATTTAAGAAGATATTTAGCTTCAAATAAGAAGAATAATGATAATGTCTTGGCTCATATTAAGTTTCCAAATATCTCACCGGATACTTTTCAAATTATTTTAAAGTAAGTAGTATATATTTAATAAATTTATTATTAGATATTAATATACGATAATCTTATTTTAATGTTAATTTTGTAATAGATATATTTATGGTGGCATTTTATCTTTAAATGAGAATGATACTTCAGATATTTTTAAAATTTTGGTTGCTGCAGATGTGCTTCATCTTAATGAGATGGTTGATTATTTACAAAAGTATTTAATTGAAAACAAAACTGAATGGATAGAACAACATTTTGAACTAACTCATCGAATTAGTTTTCAATCTAATAATTTTTCAGAACTTCAAGAATTTTGCATGGATTTCATGGCTAAATCACCTGAAAAAATATTTAAATCACTTGATTTTACTTCGTTACCTGAAAAATCTTTGATTTCACTTATTAAAAGAGATGATTTACAAATGAAAGAAATTGAAGTATGGGAACATGTGTTAAAATGGGGACTTGCACAAAATCAAACTCTAATTTCAGATCCTGATACTTGGACATATGATGATTTCAAAATGATGGAAAATACTTTACAAAATTGTTTACCTTTAATTAGATTTTTTAGTTTATCATCTAAAGAATTTTTACATAAAGTGAATCCATATAAAAAACTATTAAATCATCAAATCTACAAAGATTTATTGAATTCTTATATGGATCCTGATTTTAAACCAGATAACAGTAATATTCCACTTCCTAGAAATTTAAAAATTGACGGAATCATTGATTCAAATATTGTTAATTTAAATATTGCTTCAATTGTTTCGAGGTGGATTGATAAAGTTGATATTAATAGTAAATTAGCACATCTTAGAGAATTGTATTTACCGTATAAATTCAATTTATTGCTAAGAGGGAGCCGAGATGGATTTTCTCCTAAAAAATTTCATGAATTATGTGGTAATAAACCTAATACTACAACTTTTATTAAAGTTAGAGAAACTGAGGAAATTTTAGGTGGATATAATCCTTCGAAATGGAAATCTTCTGATTCTTACAGCCAACCTTGTAGTTTTATATTCTCATTTAAGAACAAAGATAAATTAGGCGATTCAATTTTGAGTCATGTAAACAATATGAATAATACATTTTCTTACCCTAATTGGCGTGGACCCTCATTTGGATCTTCTGATCTCAAATTATCTGTTCCTGGTTTATATAGTACATCATCAAGTTATAATTTTAATATATGTAAACAAGAATATTACGAGAAAAAGATACGAGATACTGAAGATGATTTAATATAGAAGAGTACGAAGTTTTTCAATTAATAAGAAATTAATTTGAATAACTTTTATAAAGTACGATTACATCAATTTCTACAAATATTTAACTTCAATGTTAATTTTGTATATAATTTGTTTCCTTTTTCCTTTTTCCTTTTATTTATAAGTACAAATGATAAAATCAAGTATTGTAATTTTGATACGAGTCAGGATCATATTTGACAGCAGCCCGCTGTGATATCGTTTGTCATTTCTATTTGTAACGGCATAAATGCATAATAAAAAAATAATTTTCCCCAGTGAGAATGTAAAGATCTTGATGCAAAAATTATATTAGACATATTTATGAATTTTCTCATGAATTAATGTATCATAACGAATTACTTAATTGGAAATACTCAAAAGTTCACAATACTATAGTCTCATAATATCCTCATTATTCATGTACGATTATTTTAATCACATAATGTGTTCACACTTTAGAAGATATTAAATTCACGAGAAAAAATGTAGGGAATACCAGTATCTCCCGGCATATCACGTAAATCTACGTACAATAAACTTTTTTTACACATACTTTTTTACGTAGACGACAAAATTAGATTTTTTTTTATTTAAACACTGAACTTTCTAGAAAAATAACTTTTTTAAACAAATATTTTCATTTAAACGTACATTTTCACAAACAATTTTTTCCTTAACGCAATTTTTATACATAGTGGGTATTTGCTTGGAATTTTAGTTTTGGCGATCAGGGCGTGCTGGCTATGGGATTTTTTCTTTTTTTGAATAGTATTATTTTTCGATAATGTACGTACATCATTATGATTTTTTTCAAAAATAAAATAGTAACAAGCCTACGATAAAAACTTTATACTAAACCATTGCCAAATTAATATATCAAAAATAAATTTATATTGAATAAAAATTTTAAAAAATCTATTTTAATTAAACGATAATCTGCTTATTTTTTACATAAGCTTTTTTTATCTTTACGCTAGGAAATTAATTTTTAGATTAATTATTATATAAATGAAAGAAATGTAAGATATTTCATAATATCCTTATAGAAAAGTTATTATTACAAAGGTGACCAATATCGAAAACTTTATTACATATACGTGAATCAATATTAATTTTGAAAATGTTATTATGCAATTTTAAATTGGGTAAATTTAAAAATAAAAAGAAAATCTATTTATATTTTTATTTTACAATATTTTATTTGATTTTGTATCGATAGGTGTATTTTTGAATTGAGACCATGACAATCGTACCTTCCATGTTAATCTTACTAATCTTTAATGAGGCGTAAAAAAATTAAGAATGAATAAAGTGTAAAAATTAAATTGCAATGGCTCTTATTTTAACAAATTAATTTCTAAATAAAAATATTAACAAATGTTTTTAAAAAAGATAATCTCCCTACAAAAAATTTTATCCGTCATTTCTGTAAAAACTCCGTAAATATGAGCCTTTCACGGATCCATTCACATGAATGTAAATAATTCGATGAATTCCATGATATGAGGTTATTAATTCCGGAAATATGAGCCTTTTACAGAATATAAAAAATGGATCAACTGGTCTAACGTTCCGAAATTAATAAATTTGTATTAAATTTTATTTATTTATTTATTTTTCAATAATAATAAAACCTAATTTTCACTAAGAACTTTCAATTTAGACATTTTTTTTTGAATTTAAGTCGATTCTCTAAACATTTTGAACATTGTACCGCACATAAAATGATTTAACCCAATCTCGTATTATAAAAAACTTAAACAACAAAGTCTTGTATCACCACCAAAAAAATTATTACGATTGATGTAATTTACTACTTATCTATAATTTAAGTATTTTCGTATTATATGAAAGTGCATGATCATTTTCATCAATCATAATATTAAAAGTTCCAAATTAACACTGATGTTATAACGCTTGGGTTTGTCTTAGAAGATAATGCAATTATATCTGAACAGTTTATCATCAAGCAAGAAAACCTGTATTTTCCTAAATAATAGTATCAAGATAATTCACTAAAAAGATATATATATAAAAAAGAATGA